AAAAAAAAAAAAAAAAAAAAAGTGGGGCATAGTAGCACACACTTGGAGTCCCAGCTACTAGGGAGGCTGAGGTGGGAGGATCAGCTTAGCCCAGGGAGGTTGGGGCTGCAGTGAGCCATGACTGTACCACCTCACTCCAGCCAGGGCAACAGAGTGAGACCCTGTCTCACCAAAAACATATATATAGAGATAATAAATATGTGTTTACACACACATTCTGGATTTAAGTCCTTTGTTGGATATATTATTTGCTAATATTTTCTCCCAGTCTATAGTTTGTCTTTTCGTTCTCTTTTATTTTTAACCCAATCTGTGACAAGCACATCTTTTCATTCTCTTTACAGTGTCTTTTGCAGAGCAAAATTTTTAATTTTGATGAAGTCCAAATTATACATTTTTTTTCATGTATGCATGTGTTTCTGTGTCACATCTAAGAACTCTTTTTCTGACCCCTGGTCACAAGGATTTTTTTTCCATTTTCTTCTCAATGCTTTAATAGTTTTATAGTTTACATTTATATAGCTTTGATCAAGTTTTTCTTTTTTGAGACAGAGTCTCATTTGTCGCCCAGGCTGGTGTTCAGTGGTGCAGTTGTAGCTCGTTGAAGCCTCAAACCTCCTGGCCTCAAGCAGTCCTGCGGCAGCCTCCCAAAGTGCTGGGATTACAGGTGTGAGCCCCCAGCTTTTGATCAATTTTGAACGAATTTTTGTATATGGTGTGAGGTTTACATTGAAGTTCTCTTTCTTTTGCACTTTTGATAAACATAGATTAGCCATACTTGTGTGGATCTGTTTCTGGATTCTCTTTTCTGATCCATGGGTCTGTGTCTGTCCTTTCAGCAACACGACACTGTCTTGCTTATAGTAGCTTTGTAGTAAGTCATAAAAATGGGTGAAGTGGTTCCTCCAACTTTAGTTTTCTTTTTCAACATTGTTTTAGCTCTTCCAGTTTCTTGGCTCCTCTATACAAATTTTAGAATCAGTGAATCAATATCTACAAAAAGTTGTGCTGGGATTTTGATTGGAATTGCATTACATTTGTAAATCAGTTTGAGGAGAGTTAACATCTTTGCTATGTTGTCTTCCAATCTATGTATATAGTATATCTCTCCATTTACTTACATATTTTTTTTATCAGTGTTTTGAAGTTTTCAGGACCCCCTATTTACATTTTGCCTGGAGAGCAAACTAATAGACTTCTGCCAAGCCACTGCGGGGACACCTAGGGATCTGATTGCTTCTTAAGGAACTTGCACTGAGTCCTCTCTGCTCCAGCCTTCCTTTTTACTGCCAGCTCCAGAGATACTAGGTTTGCCATTCCCAAGTCTTTTGAGGGTTTTACAGAGAAAATCTGGTTGGTTCTCAGCTTCTCCATTGTGTGGTTGGTATTTGGCTTTCTCAACTGTACCAAGCCTGTTACAAGTAAATAGGAATACAGTAGATTTCACCTTGATTATATTCTTTCTTTACTTAAACTTCTCAAATATCCTTACTTTATATCTCTGATCATTCTAATATCTTATGCCTTGGTGCATCTGATTTCACTAGTAGTGCTTCTGTCTTTAGGTGTTTTGTGATTTTTACCATGATCTCATGTTCAGTGGAACTTTCTTGATGGGAATTCTTTGAGGCCTAGGTTGAAAGTGAGTAACTCCAGAGGTATTGTGTCTCTGCCCACTGCTCTGGGAGCACTGCCAATCCGGGATTATTTTAGAATAAATTCTCAGCTTCAGTGTAAAATAGTGCCTTTAGATTACGAATTCAGACCACAAGGCTTAATTTGTGATAATAAAATCTCAGCACCAAGGTCAAACTATGCAAATGTCCCTGCTGCCTACCTCATCATAGCTTGGCTCATCCTTTCCATCCAGTTCTCCATGCTCTCTGAGGCTTTCTCCTGCCCAGAGTGTCCGTTTTCAGCTTGGCACCTGTGACTCTGCTAAAGGGGTCTGTGTCGACCCCCAGATGTGTGTTTGGAAAACAGAAATTTCCTTTCTAAAAATCACTTCTCTGTAACTTTTCTGTGTCCAGCCTTAGGATAGGAACTAGAAGTACAGGTGTGAAAAAGGACACATGGCCTATCTTCATGGCACTCACATTTTGGGAGGAAAATAATTAATGAATGCTTTTTGAGTCCTTGTTTCATGCCAGTTGCCATCCCGGTGCATTCACATGCATGATGTCTGCAGTCCTAGTAATGACCTTGCACAGTAGGGTCTCTCGTGGATATTTTGTGGATGAGGAAACTTGGGCTACAGGGACAGGCAATGAGCTTGGCACTGGGGTTTGAGCTCCTCATGCTGGGGCTGAGTGACTGTCCTGCTCTCTCGTAGAGGCTGTGCATGCCCGTGTACTGCAAGTACCAGTTCCATAAGACTCCAGTTCACAAGACCAAGGGGGAGCCCCATGGAACCCACGTTTATTTCCAGGACATCAACGTCATCTTCCTTGGGGCGCTGCATCCCAGTGACCTAAGGGAATACCTGGAGGGTCCCCCCATGGTGGTGGAAGTTCACGACCGGGACCGCAAGTCAGAGGAGTTTTCTCAGAAGCCCGTGCTGTTTGGGGAGGACCCCCTGGATTCATACCTCAACTTCCGGGCCCTCATCTCTCCCAGAGAGACAGAGAACAACCCCTTTGAGTCCCAGAACAAGATGTGGTACCCTTATGGGATCGCCCAGGTCAGTTTTGCTGACCTCCTCCTTGGCCACAAGTATTTGAACCTGGCCGTCCCCATCCACAGCTGTGAGGTTCAGCCCACACACTGCAGCCAGGACAGCATGAGAAGGAAGGTTGTGGGGCTTGGGGTCCCCAGAGATGGCCACCAGCATGGCCCAATGCCCATGGGCAACTACCTAGAGGCTGACTCCCAGCTCAAGTTGCGAGTGGATATCGCGGTGCCACTGAGGGCCGGGGCCAGAGCTGCCGATCCCGACCTCGGGGGCTCCCAGTTTGGCCGCATCATCTTCGTCTTTGACTTTAAGAAGGTCTCCCTGCTCCACAGCCTGCTGCAGGACATCACTATGATCAACGCTAAGGCCCTCGGCCTGGACTCCTACCCCGTCAGGACCCTGCAGCAGATCCTGTCGGCCTTCAAGATGCGTGTGCGGGTCCAGGAGCAGCAGTACCTGGATGTACTCACCGGCTTCCACCTGCTGGACGGGAAGACCCACCTTTTCATCCTGGAAGGCCTGGCCAACCAAGGCTTGAGGCAGCTGTGGGAGAACCACCAAAGCTGGTAGGTGGTTTGTTTTACATTTTACATAAAAATGATGGCATCTGGATGCCGAGGGAGTGGAGAGGTCTTTCAGAGTCAAGCCTAGGTTCAGTGTCCTTGTCTGTGAGTCTCCTTTCGGGGATCATTGTGAGGTACTTACCAGGGTTTAGTCATTGGACTTGAAGACTCGATTGCATTTGCTTGCAGGGAGGAATTCAGGCGTATCTAAGATGACTGAGGGGTCCAGGAGAGTGGCGCCTGTCTTCAGGGTTCTGAGCCAAGGGCTACTGTGGCTAACCAGGAGCAGAATATTCTGTATTAGATTTCAGCTTGCCCCAGGGAAGATCATTTTGAAGATGGAGGGGCTGCTTAGGTTGCAGGAAGTTACCCTTCTCTGAAAGCCTTCAGGGGACCTGGGGGCCACTCAGTGGGGACACTAGAGGTGAATAATTAAAGTGTCCAATTCTGGGCTGCAGCAGGTAGCCCTTTGCAGTTCCTCCATTCTTTAGTTTTGATGACATGACACCTCTCCCTTCCTTTCACAATTTGCAGGTATACTAGTTTGGGTAGATAGGATCTCCCTCCTTTAGTCCAGAGGGCCCCCATCTGTCTTCAGAATTCAGATGCCCCAGGACCCACTTGTCTGCAGTAGGGAGTCCAGGAGTTGAGGCTGTCTGCCCAGAAGGGGATTGCACTTCTCTGGACCTGCCTTCCTGTGCTGATGGGCTCAGAGGCACTGGGAGAAGCTGGCCTTGTATCTATTATAAGCCCAGGAGAACTGAAAACATATTTCCACACAAGAGCTTTTACACGCATGTTCATATCAGTGTTATGTATAATAGTCAAAAAGTGAAAACAGGCCAGGTGCAGTGGCTCACGCCTGTAATCCCAGCACTTTGGGAGGCTAAGGCAATCCTGGAATCACTTGAGCCCAGGAGTTCAAGACCAGCCTGGGCAACATAGTGAGACCTTGTTACTACAAAAAATACAAAAATTAGCCAAGCATGGTAGCTCCTGCCTGTAATCCCAGCTACTTGGGTGGCCAAGGTGGGAGAACCCAGGAGGCAGAGGTTGCAGTGAGCCAAGATCATGCCACTGAATTCCAGCCTGGGTGACAGAGCCGGTTCATAGCAAAAAAAAAAAAAAAAAAAAAAAAGTGGAAATAACCCAGATGTTTATCAACTGATAAACAAAAGATAATAAGTCCATAGAATAATTGAGCCATAAAAGAAAATGAAAGCCAGGCATGGTGGCTCACACCTGTTATCCCAGCACTTTGGGAGGCTGAGGCAGGGGGATTGTCTGAGGTCAGGAGTTCAAGACCAGCCTGGCCAACATGGTGAAACCCCATCTCTACTGAAAATAGAAAAACTTAGCCGAGCATGATGGCACGTACCTGTAATCCCAGGTACTCAGGAGACTGAGGCAGGAGAATTGCTTGAACTCTGGAGGCAGATGTTGCAGTGAGCCAAGATCACGCCACTGCACTCCAGCTTGGGCAAGAAGAGCGAAACTCCGTCTCAAGAAAAAAAAAAAAAAAAAAGAAAGAAAGAAATGAAATACTGATACACATATCTCAACCTTGAAACATTCTGCTAAGTCAAAGAAGCCAGACACAAAAAGGCACATATTGTATGACTCTGTGTTTGTGAAATGTCCTGAACCGGCAAATCCATAGAGATAGGTAGGCTGGTGGTTGCCAGGGATAACCACTCAGGGGAGGGCAAGAGAGAAGCGGGGAGCCACTGCCAGTGGGCACAGGGTTGCCATTAGGGGTGTGGAGGATGTTCTAGAACTAGATAGTGTTTATGGCTGCACAGCATTGTGAATGTAGTCAAAATCACTCATTCATGCGCTTTAAAAGGTTGAGTTTTGTTCAAGACCAGCTTTGCCAACATGGTGAAACCCCATTTGTACTAAATATACAAAAATCAGCCAAGCGTGATGGCAGGTGCCTGTAATCCCAGCTACTTGGGAGGCTGAGGCAGGAGAATCGCTTGAACCCGGGAGGTGGAGGTTGCAGTGAGCCAAGATCACGCCACTGCACTCCAACCTGGGCAGCACAGCAAGATTCCATCTCAAAAACAAACAAACAAAAAAATGAGTTTTGTTGTGTGTAGCAGAGAATGTGGCCTGGCCCAGGAACAGTCTGGGCTCTGCCCTTGGCTCCTGGGAGGCAATCTGAGTCACACCTAATAGGAGTGTCTTTGTTCAGGGAGGGGACTGGCCACACCTGACAGTCACAGGATGGAGGCTGACCTTCCAGAAAGACCAACCGGGTGCTTCGGGATGGGGGCTTTGGGTCACGCAGAATCAGGAGACTGAGTTTAGCCATGTAGGCGGTCAGCCCGGCTGCTATACCTGTGCAGTGGAGCCCCCTGGAAACTCTGGCCACCGGGGCTGGGGTGAGCTGCCTGGCTGCAGTGTGCTTGCATGCCGCCACTCACCAGTGCTAGGAGGGTAGCACATCCGGCCCCACAAGGAGAGGACAGTGGAAGCTTTGTGTCTGGAGCCGTTGTGGACTCTGCTCCATGTGTTTGTTCCCCTGGCAGATTTTAATCTGTATTCTTTCCCTGTAATCCAACTGAGTGTAGAACTCACTTTCAGTAAGTTCTGTGAGCCCTTCTAGCGTGTTATCAAACCAGAGGGCAGTCTCAGAAACCTCCTGAACTTGCAGTCGGCGTCAGAAGTAAGGGTGGTCTTGGGGACTGTGCCCTCAAACTTTGTGGTTTGGCTAATGCTGGGCACATAGTATATGAATTACATCTCGAAAGCATTTTCCAGTGGCAGAAATAACATGAAGCATGCTCATTGAACCCCGTTGAATTAGGCTAGAAATAAAACATAGATCATTAACCAGAAAAAAGTTCATATGGAAGGAAATTAATAACCATACTTCCAAATAACTTGTGGGTCAAAAAGAAATCCTAATGGAAATTAGACATTTTTGAACTGAACAATAATGAAAATAATATATTAACTAAATTTGCAGGGTGGGCCGGGTGCAGTGGCTCACTAGATAGTGTTTATGGCTGCACAACATTGTGAATGTAGTCAAAATCACTCACAGTCCCAGCACTTTGGGAGGCCAAGGTGGGCGGATCGCCTGAGGTTGGGAGTTTGAGACCAGCCTGGTCAACATGGTGAAACCCCATCTCTACTAAAAATACAAAAATTAGCTGGGCGTGGTGGCACACACATGTAATCCCAGCTACTCGGGAGGCTGAGGCAGGAGAATCTCCTGAACCCAGGAGGCAGAGATTGCAGTGAGCCAAGGTCATGCCACTGCACTCCAATCTGGACAACAGAGTGAGACTCTGTCTCAAAATAAATAAATAAATAAATAAAAATTTGCAGAGTGACATTGAAGCATTAGTCAGAAGAAAATGTATAGCTTTAAAATGCTTATTTGGAAATGAAAAATGTCTGAAAATTATTGAGACATAATTATAGTTGTTGCAGACATTGATATGTGTTTCAAATTATGCCAATATATTAAAAAATTTATAAGAAATTTAAAAAATAATACCGAAAATATGTTCAGATAAGATTATTTAATGTGGTATTGAATATAAAAATTAGTATAAAAATATCAAATTTTGAATACCATCTACATACGAAAACTAATTTTTAAAAATTGGAACACATTTAAAGTAAAATGTATGAAATTCATGGGACTAAATTTGACAAAAAGATGTGAAAGACGTCCATCGTGAATATTATAGAACTTCAGGAAAAATTAAGGAAGACATAAATAAGTGGAGAGAGATACCATGTTCATGAATTTGAAGACTCAATATTCTAAAGGCTCAGTTATCTTCAGATTTGAACTGTAGATTCAGTGCACTTCCAGTTTTAAAAATCCCAACAGTTTTTAAAGTATGGACATTGATTTTAAAATTTTAAACTTTTGCATGTTAAGTTTCATACTTTTTTTTAAAATCAAAGTCCATACTTTAAAAGCTGTTGGAATTTTAAACCCTTTACAGCAACATGTAAAGGTCTTTTTTTTAAAAAAGATACCCTTGAATAAGAACAAGATAGAAGAACTTGCTGTACTAGATATCAAGACTCATGATAAAACTATAGTCATTAAGATAGTATGGTGTTGGTTCAGAGATAGACAAGCAGACCTATGGAATATAATAGAGAATCCAGAAACAGACCTACACATAAGTGTTCATTTGCCGTATGACATGTGATATTGCAAAATTGGTAGGGAATAAATATACTAAAAAACACTGAATGTTCTACTTCAAAAAGATGAATCTTACACAATGGGATGCTATTTCATACTCATTAGGATGGATAGAATCCAAAAGTCCAGTAATGACAAGCATTGGCGAGGATGTGGAGGAATCAGAAGTGTCCTTCTCTGCTGGGAGGAATGTAAGTGCAGCCACTTTGGAAAACACTCTGGCAGTTCCTCAAGTGATTAAACACAGAGTTCCCATATGACCCAGGAATATCACTCCTAGATCTGTGCCCAAGAAAATGAAAACATGTATATCCACACTAATGTGTGGATTATTGCTGATTAGTGTACTAAACTTGTACACTCATGTTTATAACAGCATTATTCATAATAGCCAAAAGATGGAAACAGCCCAAATGTCCATGAAGTGGTAAAAGGGTAAACAAATGATGGGATATGCATACACTGGAATTCTATTTGGACATAAAAAGGAATGAAACACTGACACATGCTACACTATGGATGAACCTTGAAAACATGCTGAGGAGAAGCGGCTGGCCACAAGATGTTGCATATGACATGATTCAATTTATGTGCAATGTCCAGAAGAGACCAATCTATCAGAAAGTAGATTAGTATAGGGGTCCCCAACCCCTGGGCCATGGACCTGTACCAGTCTCTGGCCTGTTAGGAACCGGGCTGCACGGCAGGAGGTCAGCAAGCTCTGCCTGAGCTTTGCCTCCTGACAGATTGGCAGCAGCATTAGATTCTCATAGGAGCGGGAACCTTTTTGTGAACTGTGCATGCGAGGGACCTAGGTTGCGCATTCTTTATGAGAATCTAATGCCTGATCATCTGAGGTGGAACAGTTTCATCCCGAAACCATCCCCCCAACCCCATCCATGGAAAAATTGTCTTCCACGAAACCAGTCCGTGGTGTCAAATAGGTTGGCGACCACTGAATTGGTAGATACTTAGTGGATCAGGGGTGGGGGTATTCAGGGGGTTGGGAGTATACAGAGTGATAGCTAAGGGGTGTGGGGTTTCTTTTTGAGGTGATGAGATGTTCTGAAATTGATGATGGTGGTAGTGGTTGCACTAAATAGGTGAAAAACTATTGACTTATACTTTACAAATGGGTAAATTGTCTGCCATGTAAATTATATCTCAATTAAAAAGTAACTCTAGGCTGGGCACAGTGGCTCACGCCTGTAATCCCAGCACTTTGGGAGGCCAAAGTGGGCAATTACCCAAGGTCAGGAGTTCGAGACCAGCCTGGCCAACATGGTGAAAACCTGTCTCTACCAAAAATACAAAAATTAGCCAGGCGTGCTGACACATGCCTGTAATCCCAGCTACTCGGGAGGCTGAGGCAGGAGAATTGCTTGAGCCCAGGAGACAGAGATTGTAGTGAGCCAAGATCGTGCCACTGCACTCCAGCCTGGCCAACAGAGAGAGACTCTGTTTCAAAAAAAATAAATAAGTAACTCTAGTGGACAAAAAAAGTTCAGTAGGGAAAGGATAAACTTTTCAATAAATGGTGTTGGGATAATTGTGTTCCATAGGAAAAAAGCAACCACTGCTATATCTGGAAATAGAACTGATTTTTGTATGTTGATTTTATATCCTAAAGCCTTGCTGAAACTCACTGGTTCCACGAGTTTTTGTTTTGTTTTTTTGGGAGATTCCTTGGGATTTTCTATACTGATCATCATGTCATCTGCAAATAGGGATAATTACATTTCTTTCTTTCAGTCTGTATACCTTCATCTCCTTGTTGTACTGGCCTGGACGTGCAGTATTGTTTTATATAAGAATGGTGAAGGTGGCTCACTCCTATAATCCCAGCCCTTTGGGAGGCCTAGATGGGCGGATCACGAGGTCAGAAGATCGAGACCATCTTGGCTAACGCGGTGAAACCCCATCTCCACTAAAAATACAAAAATTAGCTGGGCATGGTGGCGGGCGCCTGTAGTCCCAGCTACTCGGGAGGCTGAGGCAGGAGAATGGCGTAAACCCGGGAGGCAGAGCTTGCAGTGAGCCGAGATTGCGCCACTGCACTCCAGCCTGGGCGACAGAGCGAGACTCCATCTCAAAAAAAAAATGGTGAAAGCACACACACTTGCCTTGTTTCTGGTCTCTGCGGCAGAAGGCATCAGTGTTTCCCCACTACCTATGATGTTAGGTGTAGGGTTTTTGTAGATGTCCTTATGGGTCTGAGGAAGTTCCATTCTATTCCTAATTTGCTGGCTCACACAATTCATAAAAATCAACTCTAGTCTAGGTAGACCAAGCCCCTGTTTTTAAACTTTTAATTTTGTTGTTTTTTTTGAGCTTTTTCTTTCTTTCTTTCTTTCTTTTTATTGAGACAGGGTTTATTGCTGTTACCCAGGCTGGAGTGGAGTGGTGTGGTCACGATTCACTGCAGCCTTGACCCCCCCGCCTCAAGCGATCCTCCTACCTCAGCCTCTCAAGTAGCTGGGACCACAAGCATGTGCCACCATGCCCTGCTAATTTTTTTTCTTTTGTTTGAGACAGAGTCTCATTCTGTTGCCCAGGCTAGAGTGCAATGGTGCGATCTTGGCTCACTGCAACCTCTGCCTCCTGCGTTCAAGCAACTCTCCTGCCTCGGCCTCCCTAGTAGCTGAGATTACAGGCACCCGCCATCATGCCCGGCTAATTTTTTGTATTTTTGGTAGAGATGGGGTTTTGCCATGTTAGGAAGGCTGGTCTCGAACTCCTGACCTCAGGTGATCCATCCGCCTTAGCCTCCCAAAGTGCTGGGATTACAGGTGTGAGCCACTGCACCTGGCCTAAACTTTTAACTTTGAAATTGCAAAAATAGTGGAGAGGTTGCATGTACTCATTACTCAAGGTCCCCCAATTCCCCCAGTGGTGACATCTTATATAATGACTACTGATTGACACAGTATAACTAAGTAGACTACAATGATCTGATCTCAGATTTCACCAGAAATTTTTTTTTTTTTTTTTTTTTGAGACAGAATCTCACTCTGTCGACCAGGCTGGAGTGCGGTGGCGTGATCTCGGCTCACCGCAAGCTCCGCCTCCTGGGTTCACGCCATTCTCCTGCCTCAGCCTCC